AACTTGTTTTCCAAAAGGCATCATTAAGATAAATTATTTTACTTTATTTTATTTTTAAGATAAATTATTTTAAAAAGTCAAAGACTGGAAGAAAGTATCTACAAATCATACAGCTAATAAAAGACTTGTATACAGAATATTTAAAGAACTCTAACAACTCAAGACAACTCAATTAAAAAATGGGCAGAATATCTGAATAGACATTTTACCTAAGAGATACATTATGCTATACATTATGCACATAAAAAGATGCCCATCATCATCAGTTATCACGGAAATGTAAATTACATTTATTAGGATGGCTATAAGCATAAAAAATGACAATAGCAGGTATGAGCAAGGATGTAGAGACAATGGCACCTCATCCACTGATGGTATGTAAAAATCACTTTGGAAAAGAGTTTAAAAGTTTCTTAAGCTGTTAAAAATACTTTCATACCACCCACCAGTTCTATGGTTAGGAAACTTCCCAAGAGAAATGAAAATATGTCCATGCAAGACTTACATATAAATATTCACGGCAACATTATTCATAATAACTGAAAACTGGAACAATACAAATGCCCATCCATTTGCGAAAGTATAAAGAAAGAATGGAATATCACTGGGCAACAGAAAAGAATGAAGTACAGATTCATGCTACAACATATATGAATATGTTCATATATGAACCTCAGAAATATCACGCTGAAAGAAACCAGACACAAAAGATTGTGTATTGTTTGATTCCTTTTATATAAAATTTCCAGAAAAGGCAAATCTATAGTCAGGAACTTAGTGGTTGCCTGGAACTGGGGTGGGAGCAGAGATTGGATGCAAGCAACTTGAGAAAACTTTCAGAGCGACGGAAATGGTTCCAAACTGGATTATGGCAATGTTACAGAACTCTGTAAGTTTACTTAAAATTACTGACTTCCATACTTTGAAAAGATTAATAGACATTATGGTAAACAGATCATACCTCAAATAAAACTTCTTTTTTTTGAAAGGAAATTATACTGCCATCCACACTGCTTGATTGTTGCTAGGAGTGTCAGTATCATTCAGCACTTGGCAGTGATACTTCCAATCTTTTTTAGCAGATTGGTTTTAAAAATCACATCTCCTTATTCTTAATAATACACATTTCTTTGATCTTTAACAAAACGGAACATTTCTTCTATTTGAGTCTGCTATTTTCTTATAAGGATATACTTCTTTTCCATAAGGACATGTGAGACTTTTATCTTTTTGAAATAGCAAACCTTTTTCAGTGATATGTGATACAAATGTTTTTTCCCAGTTTTTCAAACTTTTTAAGATTTTGTTAACAATGGGTTTTTGTCATATTGAAATATTCATTTTCATGCAGTCACATCCATCTGTATTTTCATTTACAGAGTCTGTCTCTGGTGTTATGACATGTGATATTCTTTTGAAACATTAATCAGAAACCTTGAATACTGTTAGTTAAGCATCCCTTGTGCCAAGCCCAGCACTACTGGGCCTTTCCACTTTAAGAGCTGTTGCTAATCATGCCAGGACCATGAGTCTAGGCCTCACTGGTTGATGCCTCTTTGTAGAACATCATATCATCGCATAATAACGTGACCACGGCAGGCATTCATGGATGTCTGACCAGAACAGTCTAGAATTTAGTTACTCATTATCTCACTCCCAACTACATATTATCATTTTCCCTGCTATTCCACTCACTACTAAAAGGTGGTGGGTGACCCTTCACCCTTCTTAGGTAATAAATACTGGCAAGTGAACTTTATTTGAATTTTGCAAACTCGGAAAGAGATCTAATGCTAACTAAAGAACTCCTTACTACTGAGTGCATATTGCTTCAAAAAATTCTACAACAGTCATTAAAAAACCATTTGGTTTAATGTAACTATAACTATCACACACAAAGATATAGATAATACAAAGATATAAAAAAAACGTTTTAAATTAATGTGGATATTATGGTCTTTTAAGTTGTATAAACTGAGGCCTGCTTATATTAAGATACAATCAGAAGAGATATTTAAGTGGCTGATAAAAGAAAATGACTCTGTTTTTCTCTGTATGTATTTAAGTCCTAACATACACTCGCAAGACCAGCCCAAATTCAACCTTCTTTCCCTACCAATCCTACAGCATTTAGAATCCTATACCTATATTCTGGGACACAAATACAGTCTTAATGTTACTCAAGTGCTTTGCGCCCACTACTCTTATCACCTTCAACGAATTAAATATAAGCTTCATGAGAGCAAACTATGTATCCCTATGACATTAAAGCAGTGCTAGGATTCCAGATTTTACTCTGCAGAAAGCCTAAACAGGTGTTCATTAAATAATTTTTTTTTTTATTTTGGAGAAACCTGATGAGATAAAAGTATTGTGAAGGCACTTAAAAAATTTATTATAATGTAAAACAGGCAGTCCTTGAGTCAAGAAAAATAATGTGTAGTATGTAAATGCTTTCATAGCTACCCAAGCTTTACAGCTTTCAAAGAATTTAGGCACAGACGACGGTCTTCAGTTCTTTTCTAGCATCTAGGTAGGCTTTACCTAATGGAAGTGGTTTCCTGTGTAAGCTTCAGTGAGCTCCCAGGATTCCATGAGGTAGCTCTAAGGTGTGAGTGGTAGATGGGATGGCCATGGAGGCTATGTTTAATTTGTGGCTGCTTTTGTCCAGGTATCAGCTTTAGGCTCCAGGTATAAATGAAAAGCCTTCCTATTAGTCAAGGACAAGTTTTCCATCTCTGAAGAAAACTCTGATGTCCTGAGGGATGACATTTAGGTGCTTGTACACCTGGCTGCCTTCTTCATAGGAACTCCTTGCCTTCCAGAGAAATAAAACAATAACCAAAAGCCAGTTCCTCTACTGTTTTTCTTTTCTTCCCCTCTGTTTGCTTAGGAAAGGTGGACAGTGAGGGCAAGTAAGAAGAATGGTTTCCCCAACTCTGGCCATAACATCAAGGACTCTAGTACATCAGGGTCTGTTGTAATAATGGGTTTGTGCACATCTTTTTGTTCATTTAGATTTGTTAATAATTCTCAAGAAAAGGGATGGCACTAATTCACTCTATATCTCATTTCTGGATGGTTAGTTTTTTTTGACTCTACTAGAATTCCCAACCTAGTCAAATGAAAGCTCAGATGAATGCTGAAAATGGTGGCATCAATTTAAATACGCTAGTTCTAGTAAAACAGGGCTGAAAAACAAAACTCTCATAAACACCAAATTTAAGTGATGAATGTCAAGGATTAGTACTCTTAATGTGCCATCCATCTTCTCAGGCTCCTAATCTCTTTGCATTTCCTAAATTCGTCTTGACCTACCCACAACTAAATGAAGAGAATGAATAAATAATGTTCGAAAGTAGGGACTTTGAACCTACAGTATCTAATTAAATCTTTGGTTCTAGTAATTGGTCGGTGAAACGTTGGGTAACTCATGTCTTTAAGCCCTAGCGCAATGGCCTTAACTAAGCCCCTCCAGGTGTAGTGAGGAGTAAAGGAACTAAGACAAGTCAAACTCTTCCCAAGCACACAGTATGTGCACAATAAACTCTAAGATGAACAACAACAAACTTCTGTTGCATTTTTTTTTTAAAGTGGAGGAGGCCAGTTCCCCACCACATTCTCCATAATGGCAAGTAGGAAGGCAAAAAAAAAAAAAAAAAAAAAAAAAAAAAGCTCCTGTAATTTCAAAACTTCCGTATTTTCAACCGAGGCACGCACTTCCACAAATCCGGCCACAGTCTGGAACTGATCATGAAGCGGGGCGTGTATCTGTAATTTCGCCTCACGTTTGAGGCGAGCCGGGGCCAAGCATTCCCCTAGTCACAGCGGCCGCACGCGCGGTTTCGGAGGGCGCAGGAGACCCTTCCCCCGCCCTCCCCGGGGCAGCGACCGGGGGCGGCCGCGCTCCGGGGGCCACGCGCTCCGCCGTGCGAGACCCCTGGGCCCGCGGCCCGCGCGGAAGGGGGCGTCCGAGCCCCCAGGTCCCCGGGAGCCCCGGGAGCGCGCGCAGCCCGCCTTCCCCGAGCGCGTGTGGGGCCGTGGCCCGTGCCCTTGGCGGCCGCAGCGGGCGCCAGCCGCGCCGTCCCGTCCCGTGCGGCCCGCCGCCAGCTCCGCCGCGCCCGCCGCGCCCGCCGCGCGCCGCCCGCAGGTCCCGGCCGCCCGGCCCCGCCTGCGCCGTCCCCAGCCCTGATTGACACCGGAGTTGGTACATACGGGTCTGCAGCGGAGGCGAGCAGGGGGGTGAGTGCTATTTTAAACATGGCTTTCCCTTCCCTTGGCCTCAGAGCCGACGCGGCGCGCCCAGCAGCGGGCTAGGCCCACCTGGGAATAACCCCAACATCTGCCCGACTGGTCTGTCTGTTTAGGTATTTATTAGGCTCTCCCCATGCATGGACGTGTTTCACCCCCCCCCGCTCCCCCCTCCCCACCGCTGCTCCCTCTCCACGCTAATCACAGCCCGGCAGTTTCAAAGAGGAAACTCCCCTCCTAGAAGAGGGGGAATGGAAGGCTCTTTTGCTGCTTCTTGTTCGAGGTGGAAACCATTCCAGCTAGCAGGAGTTCAAAAAGCAGGGAAGCCGCGTCGCTGGAGAGAAAGTAACACTGAGGAATCGATAAGGACGGACGGAAGGAGGGAGGGAAGGTCTGCAACAGGCATCTGAAAACAAGCGTGGAGAAGCAAAGGGATTCGCAATCCCTGACTTACTCCCAAGCGCATTCCGCGCAATCCACTGCAATGGATCGGCTGTAAGCACAATTTGGAGGCCTTTGAAATCTTTTTTGGGGGGAAGACTTACCTTTCTCTTCGGCATAATGATTACGTTCGTGCGGCTGAAAAGTAAAGCAACGGGCTGGAACTGCAGACGCCGCCGCTGGATGCCGCCGCTGCAGCTGCTCACGCGCAGGGCACGGCGTAGCCCGGCCTCCCCGACCTGCACCTCCGCGGCTCCCTCCAGGGGCCCTCTACTCGCTCGCCTCCCCGCTCCTCCAATGAGGAGCCCCGGCAGCCGGCCGCGAGGCCCCATTGGCTGCGGCAACATTCTAAATTCCACGAGGGCACGCCCACCCCAGCGCACACGGTAAGCGCTGTTGTAGTTTCCACTTCACCGAAAAAAATCTGCCTGGTGACTGAGCATGCCCAGTTCAACTAGTAACCCCCAAGCCACACGGTCCTGGAGTTGCATTGTTTGGCTGCTCCCTCTTTGGATCCTGTCAGTAGGAACAGTGTGGGCCTTTATAGTCGGGGGCGGGGGGGGGGGAGGGGAGTAAGCATACACACCAACTTTATAGTGTAAGTGTATGCACAGCCGGCGCTTGATAAGGACTCCTACCCTATAAAGGCTTCTCATGGATGTTAGTTAGGTGATGGAGACTTGGAAGAGTGAGTGTGTTCTGGGAGAGTGTGGCAATTTCAGAGGGCCTCAGTTTCCCCTTTTAGATATCTAGTGACAATAGTCGCTGAAGTTACTTAGTTTTAATTTCCTAAAATCTGTGATTACAAATCACTCACTCATTCAGCCAACTCCAAACTAGGCTTGAAGGTGAACAGGGTATGTTTGTTATGGAACTTAGGAAAAGAATGAACAAGATCAGATTATTTATATTTGAAACATATGTTTAAAATATACATAATTTAGTGTTTCTCAGAGTTCTGCAAGGCATTAGACTGGCATTGCAGAGACGTTTCTGAATTTGTTTTATGAGACCAGTTTTACCCTGATACCAAAATCAGTGTAAGATGTCAAAAGAAAAGAGAGCTATGGACCAATATCCTTTATAAACATAGACACAAAAATCTTGAACAAAATTTTAGTAAATCAAACCCAATAACACTTGAAAGGATAAGACATCATGACCATGGAGTTTATCCTTGGAATTCAAAGTTGGTTTAACATCTGAAAATCAACCAATGTAATCCACTATATTAATAGAATAAAGTAAAAAACCAATACAATCATTTTAGCAGATACAGGAAAAGCACTAGTGAATGGGTATGCAAACTGTGGTAACCATATACAATACAATATTACTCAGCCATAAAAGGGAACAAAATATTTCTACGTGAACGAATGCCAGAAACAAGATGCCATGTGAAAGAAGTCAAATACAAAAGACCATACTGAATAATTTCATTCTTAAGAAATTATAGAAAAAGCAAAATTAGGCAAGCTTAGTTTCATAATCACACTGGAAGGCAAAAATTGACATCGTAGGAAAATATATTGAAGTCTTACACCACAAACTTGGCCAAATCGACTTTGGTCATGCACAGCCTACAAAAATGCATTAAATAATGTCATCAAGTAATTAATTTTAATGCTTACCTTTTTTTCTTATTAATTTTCAAAATAATCAGTTGACATCCTAGCAAACTCCAGAAGTGGTCAATGACTTTCTTTTTGTAATATCTTTAGGAACTCGTGAATTTTTATACATTTGGTGTGCTTCAACCTATTGCTATTATTGCTATTGTTACTATTTTTTTATGCTCATATTGCCCCAGTATGAATTCTTTTTCAGATTGGTCCTTTTGACATGATCCCAATTGTCTTTGATAGATTTCTTACTTTCAGGAAGTCAGTGGATCACAATATACTCAAATAACTCAGATAAAATCAGTTCTTTGAGAATTGGATAAAAACTTTGAGATTAATTAATTTTATCATAAAAATCATATTTATAATGGAGTTGTCTTGGAAGAGAGTTAATTTGCAAAATGCTTGTGGTTAAAAGAAAAAAAAAAGCCAGTGAAGACATTTTTAATAAGATATGTGTGGGAAGGATGCTGGGTAGCACTTGTAATCTGGTTTGAAAATTTTTTTCTTTATGGAGATCAAAATGTTTCACAACAAAGGTAGTCTAGGGTGAATTTTTCTCTCTGATGATAAGTTGGCTTCTTTAGTTTATATTTTTAAAGACTCAACAACAGCAAACAAAATTGTAAATGTTTTTATTGTGCATAATAAAATAGCTGCAATGAACATGAAACTTGCTAGTTGGGTAAAGAAAGTTGATTGTGGGAACCTTGGGTCATTTGAGCCTCTTAGTTCATTTACAAGTGATGAAAATAACAGATTAGTTTTGAAATGAGTAACAGCATCAATTCTTTTTCCTTTGAAGTGGATTGCACCTGCCTGAGCAGAACACTGGGGAATGGAAGGCTCTCCCTGTACCTTCAGGAGCTTTCAAGGTCTGAGAAAATAAGCACAGACTTCTGGAGGAAGGAGGAGTAGGCAAAGAGAATAGTTTAGTGGGTAGCTAGAATTCCAGGTTAGGAGATAAAGACACTTGAGCAGAAATGAGCGTGCCATATGCAAGACAGTGAGGAAGCAAGGTCAACCTGGTAAGAAGTAAAGACTCATTTGTTTATCAGTATATTGTGCTGAGTGTTTTACTTGCTTCAGAACATCAGCCTCTAAGCCAGTAGTCTTTCCTACAAGATGTGGAGACTATCTTAGCCAAGATAGACAATGGATGAATGGAAGGGAGTTACTGCCTGAAGAAGAAAGAAGGAAAAATTAGTGAACATATTTCTTTTCCAATTCCAATTTCTCTCTCCTTCTTTCCTACTCAAAACAGTCGGAATCGTATATCTACCTCAGCATTTTTCAAAACAGCTGGGCAAACTCATTGATGGTATCATGACTATCATTAAGGGAGAAAAAGAGTAAGAAGGGAAAAGAAAAGAAAGAGCAGAGCATGGAAAATATCACAGTGCATTTCACATGGTAAAGGTAAGTAGTGTTTTCTAAAATGTTTCCATCTTTCATACATTCACACATACTACACATGTACGTATATAGTTGTGTGTGCATATGTGTGTGTGTAGTAGGTGTTCTAGGTTGTGATGTGAAATGTATTTTTGGGATAGGTATTGGCGAAGAAACTTTAAAGTTACTTCACAGGGGCGCCTGGGTGGCTCAGTCGGTGAAGTGTCTGCCTTCAGCTCAGGTCATGATCCCAGGGTCCTGGGATCGAGCCTCATGTCGGGCTCTCTGCTCGGTGGGAGAGCCTGCTTCTCCCTCTCTCCCCTGCTCATGCTCTCTCTTGCCGTCTCTCTGGCTGTCTCTTCCTTTCAAATAAATAAATAAAATCTTAAAAAAAAAAATAAAGCTACTTAACAGCCCTAATAAGGCTTGTGGATCTTTGGGGTTCCAGCAGTTTTTCCCCTGGAAGAAGGGTGCTGAATCTTCAAATCTTGAACGGAAATTTTGAAGGCAAGTAATCATCTCCCTCTTGATCTTCTTCCCTCTTTTAGGCAGGCATAGGCAGGGTTTTGTTTTAATTAAAGGCAAAGTGCTGGAGAATTCATATCTAGAATCTATATAATGTTGCTTTTTATTACTCTGTAATTCTGGAATAAATTATTTTTTAATAAATTGGTCAAAGAATTTCAAAAGGGAATGAATTTGGGAGTATAACAAAACATCAAATTAACTGACAGGAGGTGGCAAAGGAATACTCTTATTTTGTTTGTATTTTTGTTGGTCAAATCTCTGCCTTGCTGGATGCTAACTTTTGAAGAGACTGTGTTTAGTTTTTACAAAGTAACCAGGTCTAAGAGCCACCAAACCCAAATCACAGGAGTTGCCTGATGCAGGTTCCTAGACCCTAAGCCCAACTTACTGAATCCGAATTTTTAATGGCTGAACCTGGGAATCTGCACTTCAAACAAGTTTCTCCTATGATTCTTTTATGTATTATGTATTTATGAGAAACTGAGAGAGCACATGCACACAAGCAGGAGCGGCCGAGGGAGAGAGAAAGAATCTCAAGCAGACTTTGACTGTAAAGCCCATCTTGGGGTTCAATCTCACAACCCTGAGATCATGCCCTGAGCTGAAACTAAGACTTGGACGTTCAACTGACTCTACCACCCAAGCACCCCTCTCCTATGATTCTTCTCCTGGAACTTGAGAATTTTAGACTAGGCCTTAGTTCTCAAGAACTATTTGCAGAATGCCGGAACTTAGATTTGAATGATGTAAAGGCCTGCTGCCTACATAACACACTTCCAGAGAAGGAGCATAATTCAGTGGGTGAGACTTCCCTACTATGGACCTCACTTTGTATTTATGCTCCATCTCTCCTCAGTTCCAGCTTTGCTTGGCACTACATGCTTACTTTCCATTCTTCTCTCTCTTCTTCTCTACTTGCAAGGAGCCTGAAGGGTCATTTAAAAGTCTACAATTTGAGATCCCTAGAATAGCAACTCTACCCATCTTCCCAGGCAGCACTCTAGACTGCTCCTTGAGCCCCTGACAAGATTAAATTCCCTGGCCCCACATCCTCAAAGGGAACCTAACCTGCCCAGAGTTTCACAAACCACACCCTTTCAATGTTTTATTATTTCAATGATTGTATAAGCATACCTTGTAATTGCATTAACGTCAAGGGGGGCAGGGCATTCTGTGATCTAATAACAGGAACCAACTTGTTTTTCCCAGCTTTCAATCAAATTTAATCTGTGTTAGGTTATTTACCCCATCTATGTTCTACAGTCTTCCCACCCCCGGTCCTTTTCAGGTTCAATCTCTGTTGTTTACCTCTCCTTCCTCTTGTTGCTGCTGCTTAAACTCATCAGAGTGTAATTAATTTGTTCTTTGTAGCTCCCAAATGACTATTTGGGGATGAATTCGCCATGCTCAGTAGCTAGAAGCAGGGACTGGGCTACATTTGTTCAGCCATCTCTTTCTGCCGGATTGGGAGCATGTCTGGTGCCAAGAGCCAGCCATGTTCAAGGAGGTGAAAGTTAAGGGAATGGACTCCTGAAGCTTCATGGTGAGGGCACAGCAAAGTAAGGACTCATCTCATCCCCTTAGGGGAAAAGCTACGAGCTACAAAGTGCCAGAGACTAGTTAGGGGTTGTTGCAGATCTCTCAGAGGAGTTACACATTCTTGTAGATTACTGCCATTGCCAGTACACTCTCAAACAGGACCACACCCTGGCTTCTAAGCTGGGGATCTTGCCGATTTCTAATGTCTCAAACCTCAGAATTGTTGGGATCTTGCAAGTAACATCCAACAATCCCATTCCTGTCACTACTCATAATGGTCCTGCCTTTCAGGGAAGATTGAACCATTTTATTTCCTCAGTGAAAACAAATAAACAAGATCCAGGCTTAGGGAAATGAAAAGCAAATTAATCATTCTGAAAAACACCATATGGCAATTGGAGAAGATTTTTCAGGTTAGCTTGGTTAATAACTGTCATAATTCTCAAGGCAATACATTTTTACCTAGAAGTGGAAAGCTAGCCTGAAAAGTGCCATAATCTTTAAGGCTGTCTTTGCACAGAGTTGTTGCTTCTTTTGAAGCATTAAATTGTGTTATTCCCACAGAAAATCCCATCCTTTTCCCTGAGAATGAGAAATGAGAAACATTTCTACCCCCACTTCTGGGGGGTAGAACCTTTGGAACCTTTAACAAATTTTTTAAAAATTTGTTTTCTGAATAACCCAATTTACCTCTTTATATATAGGATATGTCAAAACTTTTCTGAAGTTTTAACTATTTTTTAAATAAATGCTTATCAGAAAGCTCTGAATTTGGAGTCATAAGTCTTGAATTCAAATCCCAAGTCATTGAGCTTCAATCCCATTACTTAACCTCTTTGAACTCTGCTTTTTTTGTTGCTGTAGAATGACAATTACAATGTGTATCCAAGGCAGACGCTGCTAGTTACCAACCCAGTATTCATACTAATCGTTGGTCTTACTGACAGAATTCTGATTTTTGGCAATAGAACTGGCCAAAGCAAAACAAAAGCTTCAGTTCTCCACTTCCCCAACAGAGAGAGGTTGCCACGTGACACTGTTTTGGTGAGTGAGATGTGTGCAGAAGTCACAAGTTAGTAGGGGCCATACCACCTATAACAGAGCAGGGGCAGACTGAGCCCCATGGCTTATTCTGCCTTTGTTCTTCCCCTTCTTCCATCCTGGAAGTTCATAATAATATCTAGAAGTAGAGCATTTATCTTATGTTCAAGAGAATGAGAGGCCCAACTCAAGGATGAAAGAGAATGACAGGTATGTGGGTCTCTGTAGTGACCCTGGATTGTACCACTCCACTACTTCTTATGCATGGAAAATAAGCACCATGTTTGATCTAGCCATGGAAGGTGAGTGCCTGTGACATGCAGCTGAATATCATCCCTAACTAATACACTGCCTCATGGAATTGGCGTGAAAATTGGAGATAATAAACTATAGGAATGCTCATATGCCTGCAGCATTGTACTTAACATATTTTGCCTGAAGAAAGTATATTATATTCCCCCACAGATTATAAAATAGAACACAAAAAAATTTTAACTTCTCCTGAATCCCTAAGGGCCTTATTATGAACATCTAGTGTAAACCTCTCAAAACTACTTTAAAATAGGCAGAGATAAACGTTATAAACGAGTCTTATTGTTGCTGCAGAACGTGCTGCCCTAAACTATGGCCTACTGCCATGTATTAAGGGATGGATATGTTGGCTTGTAGCTCAACTCCATATTTGTTGTAGTACGCCTCCCTGTACTGTAGATGCTGGAATCTAAAAACCACATCCCAGAGCTCACGGGAGCTCAGGTTCTGGGTGTGATTTGGATTTGGCCACTTAGATGTACTAGCGTGAGATTTGGGAAGTGGAGATTAGGAGGCGGCCACGCTAGGCTACGTCTGCTGTGTCTGCTGCTTTCTTTTTTCCCGCAACAGTATCAGCAGAGATCCCTGGCACTGGCTTTGTGGGTTTTGATAGGCAGGACTCCCTGCATCCACTCTGTAGACATAGATTGTAGCGGATGCGGTGTGGTTTGCAACTGGGAGCAATGGTGGCTTCCTGATTGAGAAAGTACTTTTATTCTCATGGAGTCTTGCCGCTAGTAGAGCCCTGACTTCAGAAGAAGCCGAGCTCCTTTGATGACCTGGTTCTGGGGTGTGACTTTGGGAATTTGCTAAAAGTTAAACATGGAGTCTGTTTCTTTAGTCTTCCAGCTGTCCATAAGCCACTGACTCCTTGAATATATCTCTTCCTCCTTAAATTAGATATGTAGGTTCTGTTCTGTTCCTCTGAACATAGAGCTACCAAGCTTCTATTAGTGTTGTTTACAAAATATTTCCAGCTTTACAGAGAGCCCCTTTTTCCATATGAATCTATGATTATGGAGGCGGATATTGAGATGAGAACCGTCTGTGACCCTGAGTGACCACTGTGAGTGGAGCCCTTTGAAGTTCCCTCCAATGGATATGGGACACAAGTGAAAATAAAACTTTTATTTAAACTGTGGATATTTAGGGGGAAATTTGTTACAACAGGATTATCTATCTTATTCCAAAATGACCTAGAACTTAGAACCTAAGAACTTAGGGTGCTGTTTTAATAATACACCCTAAAATGTGTGGCACTGGCTTAAGGGAATCAAAGAAACTATTGCTGAAGACTGGAGGAATGGATTTTCTGGTGGTGAAACATTTGGGAAAAGTGTTACCTGCAGTAAATTGTAAGGTAAAAGGCATACCTAACTTTAGGGAAGAGGTTGAAAACATTATCATTTAATTGGCTGCTATTAGCTACATTTGGCACAATATTACAAAAAAGAGAAAAGAGATATGCTTGGAGAAGAATTGGTCAGTCTGTAAAGATAAATAGAACAGACTAGAGGGTCTACAAATTCAGAGATTCAAATGTAACTGCTTCTCAACCCAAACAGTAAAGGATAAAATTGATACTTTGAGCCACAAGGGACTAT